AACATAACAATGATATATAATACATCACCGAATAATTAGAATCATATCTGATACGGTATTTACAGTCATCCAAACACTAAAGAATTATGGATCCTTGTATTGGCTATGAAATTCCACATTTAGGGTACAATTCAGCTTACCAAACAGCAGGGGCCACTACTGTGTAGCTTCCCGGTCACATTTATACCTTGTGGACATTGCCTAACAATGATATAAAGGAGTGTTATTTGTTTCTATTATATTCGTTCAGCCCAGCGTTAATGGCAAATACTCATCAACGTAATTGGCCCAAATATAACTCTCCTGGGGGGAAAAAATGCTCTTTTGGCATCACATATAAAAAACTCAACATTCATCAGGAACACTTCTTTAAATGAAAACTATAGCATTAAATTGATTTGTATACGTTGGCTTTTACGAGCAATATTATGATACATGATTAGTTTTTTTGAGGGGGGGGGGGTAGCTAGGTCGTGTCCATGTTTAAGGATGTCCCTCCACCACCCGACAGAGCCAATAAAAATGAAATTGTCACGTGGGCGAATGTGCCAGTTGCTTCGGTTCATCAGCAAAACGAGAATGTCGAAATATTCGAGCAAAATTTTGTTAATTCTTACAATTACATTCAATTTTCATTTGTGTGCGTGTGCACCACAGCCAACGCAGTATCGCAAATACGCTGTTTGATTAATCTCGAGAATCTGCGAGGCTTCTCTTCATGAAGAACATCATGATTACATATTTTTTAAAGTGATGCCAATTGAGTTTGATTGAATAGTACACCATTGGCTATCTATTCATTGTCCCAATCTACATCGGCACGTGAGTTGAATCTTATTGGCTCATTTCACATAGGTGATTAAGCTCCTTTTCTCGACACCTTTGCTGAACGAATGCCAACGTCTGCGATTACATCAATGGCCTTGGCATATGGTCAAGTCATTGTGTTAAAAAAAAAGTTTTGTGAAGGTATGGAACGGGTCCAGGATGTTTAAAATGCAATTGGTTGCTGCTGAAGGTTGACTCACAATGGAATACCGCACACCGAGGAGGCGTAGGTTTGTAAATTCACACAAATGTCTCGAAACTCTCTTCCCATGAACGTGAAGTGTATGGCGGTACAGCAAAAATGTGGGATAGAGTGTTTCCCCCTCGCACGAGCCTTCCCTTGAGTGCTCCAGTTGCCTTTAGCTAGTAAGCACTCATTAGAAAGGCTAAAACCTCTTCTTATTTTTCATCAGTTTTAATACTGGCAAAAAGGTCTCATAGGTAAGTACTCATTAATTAGCCAATAATACCTTAATACATAGAGGATCGCAGAACTTGGCCATTTGTTGGTTCCCGGCTCACCACGTGGCTGATGCTGCTGCTGCCTCCCCCACTTGTATGTGGTTCCTCCTCGTGCCTATGAGTCGTTCTCTCTCTATAAGAGTGAGCGACTAACTGTGCGATGTGGTACGTTACAATTAGACATTATAATTATCACGAGGGGCAGATTGACTTTGCGAAGTGGGCTTGGTCAGGACAGCTCGCTCGATAGGATGGCGCCAAATTGTCGAGCTTGGTGACGGAATGCCATCCCAAAGGAGGGATCATGATCACCGGGAAGATGGGGAGGGGAGCGAGATGGGTTGTGACATCGTGGGACTTGTGAGAGATGACAACGACTTGAGAATGCATACAATGAGGGAAAAAAGTATTTGATCCCCTGCTGATTTTGTACGTTTGCCCACTGACAAAGAAATGATCAGTCTATAATTTTAATGGTAGGTTTATTTGAACAGTGAGAGACAGAATAACAACAACAAAATCCAGAAAAACGCATGTCAAAAAATGTTGTAAATTGATTTGCATTTTTTTTAGGGAAATAAGTATTTGACCCCCTCTCAATCAGAAAAATTTCTGGCTCCCAGGTGTCTTTTATACAGGTAACGAGCTGAGATTAGGAGCACACTCTTAAAGGGAATGCTCCTAATTTCAGCTTGTTACCTGTATAAAAGACACCTGTCCACAGAAGCAATCAATCAATCATATTCCAAACTCTCCACCATGGCCAAGACGAAAGAGCTCTCCAAGGATGTCAGGGACAAGGTTGTAGACCTAAACAAGGCTGGAATGGGCTACAAGACCATTGCCAAGCAGCTAGGTGAGAAGGTGACAACAGTTGGTGCGATTATATTCGTGCGATTATATTCGCACCAACTGGATGGACCAAGACCCGCTGATTATTTTTTAAAATTACATTATTTTGGATTGTATTAGTTTCCACTAGATTTAGGTTTTATTTTGCGTCGCTTAAAATGTTTGATTTTACGTGTTTTTTTCTTCTTCGCGAGTATTCGCGACTGTTGACGTTCATCTTTATCTATCAAAAGTCTCCTCCCCTCCAGGGGTTTAAACCACTGTAAGTTTGCACTCCCTCAACTGAGGAGGAATAGCAAAAACTACCAGAACCATCTCTCCTAAAACCCTCTCGTCGTGGCCGACAATCTAGCTCTTGAACATATCGCCACCATACATAAGAACAGAAAAAGGTCTCCCTGACTAAATGAGCCTGGTCATGGCAAAGGGCACCCCACACACCCGATTATAAAACAGATCCACCAAACTCAACGACTGAGGTAGGGACATTAGCGTTCATTCGCTAGATCAGGGGTGTCCAAACTACGGCCCGCGGGCCAACTGCGGCCCGCGGTCCAGTTTTTATTGGCCCACAGCAAATTCTGAAAATATTATTGAATATGGCCCGCACAAGAAGCTTGAGCTCAACTCTGTTGCACTTCTCAGTTTCAACACTAGATGGAGCCAGCCACGGAAAACCGTGCTTCTCCACTAAACAAAATTAAGCAAAGAAAAACTTTTACCGCGTGTCACCAGAAATGGCGGCACCGAAGAAACGCAAAATAGCAAGTGAGTGTAGAAGATTTCAAACACGGTGGGAAAATGAATATTTTTTCAAAGAAATCAACGGAAAGTGTGTCTGTTTGATTTGCAATGAAGATGTTGTTGTGATGAAAGAGTATAATGTCCCTCGGCACTATGAGACCAAACATCAAAGCACACCGGTGCCGAACGAACACAGAAAGTCAAGCCTGCAAGCTCAACAACAATTTTTTTCGTGCTAACAAAATACAAGAAAACGCCACAACAGCAAGCTATGAAGTCACTAAGCTTATTGCCCAGCACGGCAAACCGTTCTCAGACGGTGATTTCATAAAGCAGTGCCTCATCAAAGTCACAGAAATAATGTGCCCGGCAAAAGTGCAGGGTTTCAACAGCGTGAGCTTATCCAGAAATACAGTGGTGCGGAGAATCGAGGACTTGTCAGCTAACTTGAAACTTCAGCTGAGAGACAAAGCTTGTGCTTTTGATTTTTACTCGATAGCATGCGACGAGAGCACAGATGCCCACAGATACCGCGCAGCTGCTAATTTTTTTGCGGGGAGCAGATGATAATTTTTGCTGTACGGAGGAACTGCTTGATATGATGAGCCTAAAAAAGGCACAACGACGGGTAGAGATATTTTTGAAGCTGTGTCAGAGGCAGTTGAAAAGATGGGGGCTTAAATGGGCCAAGCTCTGTGGAGTAACAACGGATGGAGCTCCGGCCGTGACGGGCGAGCGCAAAGGAATGGCATCGATGGTGTGCGCCAAGGTAAAAGAGAGCGGAGGTGAGGCTGTTAGGATGCACTGTATAATCCACCAAGAAGCACTGTGTGCCAAGACTGTCCAGCTGGGCGATGTGATGAACACTGTTGTAAAAACTGTCAACATAGTTCGAGCTAGAGGACTGTACCACAGAATTTCAAGCTTTCCTATCTGATGTGAATGCTGAACACGGGGGATGTGCTCTACCACTCTGATGTGCGCTGGCTCAGCCGCGGCTCTGTGCTGCAGCGGTTTTATTCGCTGAGATCAAAAATCGACAAGTTTTTGAAAGAGGAGGGCCGACCTCTTCATGAACTGAGTGACCCTCTGTGGCTGGCAGACCTGACATTTTTAGTTAATCTTACTCATCATCTGAATACACTGAACAAGAACCTACAAGGCAAAGAACAGCTGGTGCCACACCTGTATGCGCACATGAAAGCCTTCTGTGTAAAGCTCCGCCTGTCTGAAATCAAGTCTGCTTTTCCAAAGGCCGACCTTTCTGCTAAAAAGGAGAAATGTGTGTCTGTGATTGTATCTCTCGTGACAGAATTCAGCCAGCGTTTCCAAGATTTTTCTGTCATTGAAAAACAAATCAAGCTGTTCTCGACCCCCTTCCTGGTGGATGCAGAAGAAGCGGAAGAGAGTCTGCAGTTAGAACTGATTGAAATGCAATGTGATGATTCTCTGAAGAGTCAACATCAGCTTCTCTCCCTCCCTGACTTCTATCAGAGTTTGGATAATGCCAAGTTTCCTCTGATGAGACGCCACGCAAAAAGAATGATGAGCCTGTTCGGCTCAACATACATATGTGAACAAACATTTTTTCTGTTAAATCAGAACAAAAGCAGACTGAGAACCAGAATGACTGATAGCCATCTCTGTAAAGTCCTTCGTGTCTCAACCACCAAACTTTCTCCTGACATGTCAGCCATCCTTCAATCCAAAGGACAGCATCACTGCTCCCACTGAGTGCAATGTTCTTCACATTATAGGCGAGTTAGAAATACACACAGTATTCACGTGTCAATATGTCACCTCTAGTGTGTGACCCGGCCTTTTGTTTATTTTTCTGTATTTGGGCCTCACTAAAAAAAAACTTTGGACACCCCTGCCCTAGAGAGTTTATTCGCTAGAGAGTTGCTTCGCTCGAGAGTTGATTCGCTTGAGAATGTATTCGCTCGAGAGTTTATTCGCTTAAGAACACTTTTAAACTCTCCCAAGCTCCAAACCACAACGCCCAGCCCCCTGGCTGGCCACCAACGTAGAACCTTGGTGAGCCACGACCTCCTCCTCTAGGTGGTGGTGGTGCTGGTGGTGGGGCGATAACCCACCCTCCCTCCCATCGAGACCCCCCGCCCCAACCTCCAGTCGTTAAATAGAGTCCGACCGGCGTGGCACGGGCTTTCTCCTCCAGCCACGAACGCCGTCTCCGCCACGATGCCGCCGACGCTGCTGCTGCTGCTGCTTCCACTGACCCTGCTCAGCACGGGCCGCCTCTGTCAAGGTGAGCCGACGCACTACGCTGTGCCGAATGGTGGCAGCATCTATCTCGGATCTCTCTCTCTCTGTGTGTGTGTGTCTCTCGATGCGAGCCGTGTCCTCTTGTCAAAAACGTCGGACATCGTGCTCCGGCTTATTAATATTCACTCAAGAACATTGTATGAGATGCTTCCAGTTGCGTTCAGCTGTTCAGAACTGATTTTGTAACTTCATTTGCGGCCGCAGCGTAATCATTACTTTTGTTAATGCCCGTATTCTCTGGAATATGAGACGCCACGTGTTTTTTTTACGCAGTAATTTAAATTGCAAAAAGTTGTGGGTGCATCTTATACTCTGGTAGCTGTGTGCTGCGTAAGTTCATGGACACCAGGCACACGTTTGGGGTGCATCTTACTTCCTGCAATGCCTCACAATCCAGAGCATGTGGTACTATTGAGAATATGGTACTATTGAGAGAAGTAGTAGTAGTTAAAGCAAAATATGTACTTGCAATTATTTTAGCGCTGATAATGTCACTGTGAGCATTATCGGAAGTAAATTTGTCATGATTGTTCGTAAAAAAAATGTAGTAATAAGAGGGATGCGTAATTGTTACTCTTATGAATATCATGTGGGATCTCGTGGTGTATGTGATATTACTATATATTTTTTAAACTACACTGAAAGTTTAGTATAGTTGCGTGGCTGGGTATGTCGTGCGTCTAATCTAGTACTAAGTTGACACCGCTGAGATCCTGGGTTCGAGTCTGGGTGGTCAGCCGGAGTTAAACTGAGCTTTGTAGCGAGAGGAGAGATGGTTCCAACCCAGTCGCCAATCACTGTACACAAAACCCTGCTTTTAGGTTATGATTTTTTTGTCACTTAAATCAGATAGTTCCATTTCTGATTAATAAAAAAAAACAATTGGTCTAATTATCATGTGTGAAAAAACACACTTTGAGAAGGAATATACAACAGTTAGATATGCAAAATAGTGTGGTTAGAGGCGTCTTCTGAAATGGCAGTAGAAGTAGTTTCCAGGGCCGGTTTCTGACCGGGTGATCATGCAATGAGAGCTGCGCAAGTTCCGGTGTGTAAAATGCTCGGTCTCGTAGCATAATGATGATGATGATAACACAACTGGAGTTGGGGGGAGAAAAAATATATATCAGTCAATTAAACTAAAGTTGTTTGGTGATGTTTCTGCATTGTCATTTGTGCACAAGAACATATAACAAACACAAAAATCAAAACAACACGTTTGTCGATAACACTGTACCCTTAAAGGTACAACAATATATAATAGGTGACGTTTCAGGCAATGACCCTTCTAAAGTATGCTGAATTGACATAAGCCAAGATGTGAGGGACTGGTATACTATAAAGTTGTAATTGGTCAAATGTGTCTTGAGGGCGAGATGACAGTAACAGGTAAAGCCATATTCTTTAGGTCTTTCGGTAAAGTCACGTAGATAGGTTCAAGAAAAAATAACAACAACAAAAACTACTATCAACACAAGCGTTCGTCATCCTTCCTGATAAATGCCGACAAACGCTTGTGTTGCGATCGAAACGTCGTAGTTTTTTTTGGTATATTTTGGGGTATTTTCTTTGAAACCTATCTACGTGACTTTACCGAAAGACCCAAAGAATATGAATTCCTGCAGTCGCGAAAGCTTTAAGTCAAGATGTAGAGCTGTGTGTTGAACATCGGGTTCTCTCCATTCCTTTGCGATGGAAAATGAATCGTTTTCAAAAGAACCGTTTTCCTCTGCCCGGCCATCGCTTCCATATACAACAACAGTGCCACCAGGAGGGTTCCCACCTCCGAGGTACAAAACACTGGCACACGTCATGGGATGAAGAGGGATCATCTCACAATACCACAACAGCGGACAACCACACGTGACTTAGCGAAAGAACCAAAGAGTATGGATAATTGCAGTCACGAAAACTTCAAATTTAGAATTACACATGCAAATGCATTGTATTGAATGGTGTATTATTATTATTATTGCTGCTGCTATGCAGCTGACATAAACCAGGAATTTTAATGTCCCGGAAAGATTTGGAGATATCCCAGGACAGTAGCTGCCTCAAGAAACGAGAACGATCCTGGGAAAACCGGGACAGTTGGCAACCCAAGCGTCCAGGGCCGTATAGAAAAGTTGCGGGGACAGGGAGGGAATTTTACCCGAACCATCACACATCTGAAGGGGCCTCATGAAGGACAGGGCGGGTTGTGGGGGGGGGGGGGGCATGAGCCTCCAAAAACGTTTTATGAGCCCAGGTGGTGACTTTTGTTGCGAAAAACCCATCTTTCTGGTGACTGCCTTCTTTAACAACGTTTCTCTGGCAAGCCTCGGCTTCCACGAACGGCTGTGTGCGTGACATTTGCCAGGAGTAGGTAACCTTCTTGTGAGAACATGCCCGCTCTGCATCAAGGGCATCGCCATTGGAGTGACCAGCTGACAATTCGACTTCGATGATAACTATCATCACATGCAGACCGTGTTGCGTTCAAAGCAGTGGAAGAATATCGAAAAGCAGATGCTGTAAATGTTATTGAATAATTTAGTGCCATTCTGTAAGGTCATGTATGTATGTTGAACTTCTTTTTCATCCGAAGGAGCCAGCCGTGCTAATCATATATGCATACAGTTTATTTATTTATTAGTACCGTTCTTACATAATATAGCATTAACCCTATGAATATTTAACATTTTTTACAACACTCTTACTAGTTACCTTTAATTATATATTTATGTACACCGACGTAAAAATTATATTGCTACATTGGACCTTCGTAGCTACCTAAGAGCTTATTTAGTTCACCAGGCTCACGGTAAGAATCGTTGATATGCACGTTATAAGTACCAATAATAACACTGTGTAATAACAAAAACTACATTTTGTTCCTGGGTAGTAAGTGTTATTTCCTAATTGCTTATGTCTCAAAAGTACAGAAAACAGCTATTATTCCCCACAAACTTTGCTTTTCTGACCGTGACAGCGATATTTTGAAATGTACCTATTTTCAATGAGAAAACGTGGTGTGCATTTGTGTCATTCCTTCACGTAAAGTCCTGGTCACAAAAACAACATTTGTGGGGAATAATAGCCATCTTCTATACTTTTTAGGCATAAGCAATTCAAAAATAACACTTAATACCCAGGAACAAAAATTGTCTTACATAGTGTCATTTGCAGTGCCTGGTCAATCCAGTCAATGCTGGATGAAGAGCACTCCCACCGTGTGTCACTGATGGGGGGTTAATTGACCATACTTCACCACACTGATCAGTGCACGTTTGGTAAAAAAAAAAGCTATAATGTATAAAATATTATCAATAATACAGGTGTTTTTGGGTTAGATCGCATAAATATATAAATGCGTCGTTAAATCCGCCACCACCCGACGCAGCCAATTAGTGAGGTTTGTCACGTAAACAGAACGTGCCAATTCACTACTAGTACAGCACGCCGGTTTGCTGAAGAGCAAAGCCACAACATTTACAAGCCGAGTACGACGTTTCGCCAGTAATTACAACCGGCATGATCAGGCGGCAGCCAGATTTGTGGATAAATCTTCCTCCTGTTTTGTTCCTTAAATTGAGAGGCGGTTGTGATGGCGTCACTTGTGAGCTCTGAAGGCATATAAATGACTATGGGTATCCTTTGCCGGTTGGGTTATGTATATGGTAATTAATCAACGTACATTTATGCATGCGCATTATGCCTCCTGTCGGTTGTGGTTTATTTTTATTTTGGGCAGTTCGCGTAAATATAAAGGCGTCTTGAAAACCAGTCACCATGTTGATCTGTAAATAGTAAAATGACAAATTGTGCAACTGAACTTGTAAATAAATGCTCTTGTGACCAGAGGACAATGCCCTCCCCCCCACCGCCGTGTGAAAACAAAAAATGCATTCGATCCATTGAATCCCGTGTAAACATTTTAACAAACGGAACCAAGAATAAAGTTGCCATTGCGATTGACATTGAGCACACAAAGGCAAGACACAGGGGAGCGGTGGCTACCCCCGCCCCACCGCTCCCCAGATTAATGAACCACTTCACAGTGGAAAAGAAACCCGTAAATCGACAAGCCTGCTCCCCTCGCCTCCAGTTATCATATTCCAATTATGGGCAAAGTCCTTTTCAAAGCCATAAAGGTACCCGAATGAGCAAAGATCAAGAAACACCCAGGGGGTGCGGCTGAGTACCGTGAGCGAATAAACAAAAACTGCGCAGTTTGGGGAGTTTTAATCTTCACAAAAGTGTTTAACTTCCATTTTAGTGCACTCTTTTTTGTCTGAGTTTATACACACAAACACATATTTTCATATAAGCCTGCCATTACAGTACCATGGTTTTGTCATAGCATAAGTTTCAACTTTGGTATTATTTGGCCAAAGTATGGCCTTGCCAAGGTTGGCAAGACAACCCTAACACAGGTGAATAGGTGGTGTGGGGTGTAGGCCCAACCCAAAGGTACAGTGAGGGTGAGCGCAAAGGTTGTTTGGAGGTCAAGAGAATAAACAGCCAAATGTCACCTCCTGGACATGGCTGTTCACAAGCTCTACACACTTAGGGCACCACCAAATGCCATTAGTGCCTCCGTGCATAGGTTCCAGTTGTGTGTTGAGTGTCTCGAGACCGCAACTTCATTGAGATGCTATATGAATACAAACAACATTGTAATGGCATTGTCTTCGCCAATGGTACAATGTCTCTTAGCAATTATATATTCAAAAGAAAAAAGATCACTCTACACGAATTTTGATTCAAAGCTTTCGTGACTGCAGGGATTCATATTCTTGGTTCTTTCGGTAAAGTCACGTAGAAGGGAAACAATAAAATAATAAATATATATCTGCCTGACTTTACCGAAAGAACCAAGAATACTCTACACGAAGTCAAGTTTAGAAAACCCTATTTTGTGAAATGGTGTTTTTTAATTGTATTATTTAAACGTGAGACAATCTTGATTTGAAGCTTTCGTGACTGCAGGAATCCATACTC